GACATGAACTTGGCTATGAGATAAGAGATGGGGACCCTCACAGAAGATGTATCTACTGTGGATTCCTCTCTGGTTCTTCCAGCCTTGGACATCAAGAACAACTGCAGAGGGCGTGGAGACAATGGGCATCACCAGAAAGATAGCAAACTTATAGCCAAGGGGCAAAAGGAGATGTTGACCATATAGTCAGAAGTCAGAAGACCAAGTTAAAGCTCTGTTCACCAAGGGAGAAGTTATGCTATGAAACACAGAGCACTATGTCACCTGGGAATCTCTTTCTGGTGATAGTAGCTGTTTTAACCTATGCATCTGCAGTGAGTGTCTCTGAGCACATGTATTAGTTTTACATTTCTCATTCTCCTTTGCTTCAACTTTGTAGATTGGATGAGTTCAACACCTGTTATCTTTAAAATGACCATTTGTTTATGACCAAACCTTGAGACTATAATAGACTCATTCATTCATTCATTCATTCATCTGAAAAAAGGACTGTGTTTAATTTTTTTCTTGGGATTTGTATCATTTCTCATTAGCATAGGATATCATAACATTTTTGTTCTTGTGAAATGGCAAATATGGGTGTATGTTATACAAGGTACAAGAATTTCTAATTATATGGATGTGTCTCTTTTCAAGCTATTCTCTAGATTTTCTATTCAATATAATGATGATATAATGATGTAACCAATAGTACTGGACATAACTTGGAATCCCTGTTTTTGGTGGCAGAGTATTAAACACAATGTGTGCTTGCTTATAGAATATTCACACATCAAATGACAACTAGATTTATCTACAACATCTTATATACTGCATTTAAAAAAAAAGCAGGGGGAGATGTTAGGACACGATCCAAGAATGGAGTCCTGTGAGGATACTTCTGAGTGCTTGTGAGAAAACTCCCCACAACCAAGACAAAAGTCTTCTGACCTCAGTTTCTTCAAGAACACAGAATTGTTTTCAGATTGTTTTCATGGCCCTCCCAGGTGTAGTTGATAGGAGTGGGTTTATTTCAGATTATTCCTTATAATGTCTATTGTTATTTGTTTCCATGCCTCTATGGAAAACACACGTTTTTGCTGCATGCAGCTTGTCCACCATGTGTGGCCCTGCTGCATGATTGCACACTTTACTCATGTGACTCTTCTAATTCTTACAGTGTAAATGTCCTAGTCTCTGAATAAAGTTGGCCATTGCATGAGATTTTAGTCTGCCTCATTTATCTGCTCCATTTTCCCAGGTCCCACTGCCTCTAAAATTGTAAACAGTACTTCACTGTGGCCATATAAAACATACAAAAATTGACGTAGTTTTATAAAGGTGTTGTACTTATTTTTCAATATTTTTATTTTGAAATAATTTTTCTATTGACTATTATTCCTAGATACTATTCCTTTGATTAGCCTTGAGTGGCTTTTAAATTCCTAGAATTTGACAGTGGTTATATTACAAAAGGCTTGATTAAAATAATAGATTTTGACTTTATTTTTAAGAGCTCCAGCTATTAGTCTGGAGACCAAGAGCTCTCCCTTGTTCAGTTCAGCTGCTTCTGTGGGTTTCACCAGCCTAGTATGGACTCCTGTTCTCATCAGTCCTCCTTCTCTGCATCTGGATTTCAGTTCAGTTCAAGGTTTAGCTATGGGTGTCTGCTTCTACTTCCACCAGCTGCTGGATGAAGGCTATACGATGGCATATGAATTAGTCATCAATCTCATTATCAGGAGAGGGCATTTAAGGTAGCCTCTCTTCTGTTGCTTAGATTGTTAGTTGGTGTCATCTTTGTAGCTCTCCAGACATTTCCCTAGTGCCTGATTTCTCTTTGAATTTATACTGTCTCCCTCTATTATATTATCTCTTATCTTGCTCTCTTCTGTTCTTCCCCCCAAATTACAACTAATTTTCTCTCCATATTCACCTTTATTTAATCTTTATTTTCTTCTGTGGTATCACCTATGTTGCACTAGTGGTGGTGGTAGTAAATTTGTTGAGATGATTCATCCTTTGACAGTATCACAGCTGTCTGCTTTCTGTGTGAAAGCATCCAATGTTTGGCAAACACTAGTTAGGGTTGTGTGTGTGTGTGTGTGTGTGTGTGTGTGTGTGTGTGTGCATGTAGTTCTTTGTGTATGTGTGATATTGTCTATGTGGCATTTTTCTATGTGCAAGTATGCATATGTGTGTGTATGCTTGTGTATAAACACATGGGAAACAGAGGTTGACATCAGTAGTCTTCCTTGGTCTCTCATCCCACTTATTGTTCTTTATTTGTTGTTATTGTTCTGTTTATTTTTTATGTTTTTGAGACAGGGTCTCTCATGGAATCTGGAGCTCATTGATTAGGTCAGGCTGGCTAGTCAATGGGCTCCAGGAATCCATCTGTCTCTGATTCCCCTCTTTCCACCATGCTGGGGGTATGACCATGATTCCACATCCAGCCTTTTGTGTGGGCACTGAGGAATTCAGAATCAGGTCTTCATGCCTTACAGTGTGCACTTTACCACTATGGGGTCTATGCTCTGTGCTCAGAATTATATCTCCTGCCTATCCTTTCTCCCCATCTCCCTCCTCCCTTCTCTCTTTTCCTTTCTTCCTCTTCATCCCTTCTTTTTTTCCTCCCTTATTATTACCAGAGCAAACTTCTCTATGCCTATATTCCTATAAAATCTACAACAAAGCTGTAAAGAAGCCACCAGATAGGTACTGAGGTAACTGAGACAAAAGAGGCTCAAGGACAAATCAGTCAAATGTCCTGTCTATATGATGGCATCAAAGGAGAATCCGAGACCTATATGTAATATCTCTTCAGTATCATTTGCTCTTTCTTGGGGAATTCAGAATATAAAATATAGGATTAATGATGAATACGGGACATAAAATATGTTTTAATAATAATGTGAATTCTAAACATTTTTCTATCTCTGTGAAATCACACCACTTATAGAAAATAACTCAATATTTTGAGGTTCAGCCAGCCAATTTAATAATTGGAATGCAAATGGCTCATAACATTTTGTGAAAGTTTCAATTCCTTTAATACCTCTGGGTTATTGCAAATAAAGTTTAAATATGAGAGAAGAAGCTAGTACTTCATGAGTATAACAGAGACTTCCTTCCTGGTTCTTTACTGTGCTATGAGGTTTCCATTTGTATTATAAAAGATAGCTGAAACTACCACAGGCAAATTGGACCTGGATCTCAGAGCTCTGTAACTTGATACTTCAATTGGGTGCAGTAAGGAAGGGAGAGGAGAGGGGGAAATGGTGGGGATGGCTATTTGACCAACTTTAGAAGTTTGTGTATGAAGATAACCTCACAATGCTGTGACCCAAGCCACAGTTCAGCATTAATTTCTACCAGCGAATATAGGCATGGTATCACTTGAAAGCCTTAAGGAATCCTTCCAGGGAAGCCTACACTTTCTAAGAATATGAATTTACAAATTGAAATGACATAGACTATCAAGGCATTTGCAAAGAGTCCAATAGTGTATGAAATCATTTGAAGAGCTCGGGTAACTTGGACTAGAGTCCTTTAACTAAATTTCAACAGAACATGGGATTTCAGAGCTGGGCAATGGGAGTTTTTCTTGTTCAAATAACTTACTCTAACATGAATTAGTTTGTAAATGTCATTATGTTTTTAAAATAATATTTTCATCCACAGGGTTTCACATAGACTAACTGGACTTCATGGTTTAAACTATAACTTAAGTACATCTTGTAAGTTGAAAGCATACTTATACAAAGACAATTTTATATTAGATTTAAAGTAGCTATTACTAATAATTCAGTATTACCATCTGAATTGAGTTGAGTTCTGTGGTTAGAAGTTAAAAGGATATTATTCTTCCTCTTTAATCTCAGTGTGCAAAAATGTTACAGCCTTGGGCAGGAGCTTGGTTCAAATACATACATTAAGGAAACAGCTGAGTCAGCCAGTTGCAGAGGAAAATTTATGATTATATAATTTCTTTTTATGCTTCAACAGTGAAAAAATAAAGCTTCTGGAAGCAAACAAAACTGAAAAGGGTATGCCTAAAACACTGAGATATGTTAATTAGAAATTCTATTCTGGATTGACAAGACATTTACAGAGTAATATTTCCACCAGACTTACACTATCAAATGACCTTTGGAAGTCATGGGTTTCAACAGCTAACATAGTTTTCTGAGGCTACACTTTTGACCTTGAAATTGTAACTTGCAGTTGAATGTCTTTTAGCAAACTTATAACCTCCCGGGTTCCCAAACTGAACTTCTCTAAAATTGGAAATAGTATATATTTAAGTTGTTATATTGTGTAATTCTAACTTTAATTGTTTAGCATCCAAGGGCAGGTGAGAAGCTATTGCTCCTTGGACTGCCTTTCCTTATTGCGTAAGTCTCCCAGCTTTCTTTTTGCAGGATGTCCCTCAGCAGAAGCTTAAGCTGACGAAAGAGCTGCATTATACTGCAGCCACTAGCCTTGCTACAGCTCTGTGTCTGAGGATTCAGCTGAGCTCAACAGAAATATGCAAGGCCAGTATATCGGTCCATGGAAATGAAAGCTTTACACAGAAACTATAACAGGGTAAGCTACAATTTCCCAGCCCATAGTGGATTTGATATTTTCCTTACTTGCATTGCTTCTCTCAATCATTAAGCAACTATTTTAACAGAATGACCTTACACCTTAAGTTCCTGGCTCTGAAGCTCCCTCCTTCACATTGCATTTAAATGAACTCCAACACAATCTATTCTACTTGAAGATACCAATTGCAGTTAAAGTTAACCACACCAACTCTCAGCAGTCTGATGTTCTTAAGATTCACAACTTTGATTGCTCCCAAGTTACAGTGCTCCCCCACCTCATGTATTAGCATCCACGTACCAGCAGCATGTTGACTGATTAGCAGAAAGGGAAAGAAAAAGTTCATGCAGCAGGATAGACATGAAGGAACACCATATATCTCACTGTAATCCATGTGATGCTCGCTTGAGAACTTGTGCTTTCTTTCTTACCTTGGATGTGAATAACTCTGTCTTGATCCGGAGTGTAGCTGTCTGAAAGGTGATCAGCCCAACAGACTGAAAACAGCACCAGGAGAAGGAGACTCTTCATCCTTGTAGCTCAGCCCCTTCTCCACTGTGAAGATCACATACAAAGAGGCTTGAGAAATTTGGAACCCTTTGGAGTGTTGCACTGCACAAATTATTACCGCCTTATCATCACAGAATGGGTCTGTAAAAATATTTAACCCAATCTGTTCAGAAAGTTACTGTAACAGCCCTTGAGAGCTGACGACCGAGGTTTGAAAAATTTCAGTTCCTCTTAGGCAGCCAGGATCCAAACAGTGTTTAACTCTGTCTTTGCAGAATTGTGAATCTGGAAATTTAAAACACTGTGCCTTTGGCATGAATACTTACAGAGAGTTGGAAAGAGCTTTAGTAAAGAGGCAAATGCCCTCCTAAAACATTAACCCCTTGAGTTTGGAGTATAAGTTAACAAAGAACAATTTGGCACATCTTTATTTAAGAAGATTAATCCAACCAGCCTAATTAGGAGCTGAATCTTAGACCAGAGAAAATAAAAGATATTTTCTTGAGTCCTGACATCATCATTCATTGTACATGTGGCTTCCCGAGCAGGTTAGATTTGCTTGTTCTAAAAAGAAAAGATGATGGAGGGAAATAAAACAAGCCAAAGTAGCACATTTGCTGTAGTCAGTTACCATTTTACACATACTACTGGGGTCTATGGTGGAGAGTTGAAAATTTGTGCAAACTAGATTAGACCTATGCATGATACCCCACTGCAGTCACACCGATTGAGATTGATTTTCAATTCATTGCAAGCTAAAGTGCTGACATGAAGACTTAGAGTGTCAGGTAGGTGCTCTGCAGTCAGCCAAGCCTTGCCAGGAAGGTCCCTGCCAGGCTCACAGGGCAATTAGGCAAATGAAGAGCTGAACTAGAAAGGGAGGCACAGCCCTGATCCTAAGTGAAAGAGGCAGAGCCATCTACTGCCTGTTCTTTAGTGGAAGACAGGAGAGGACAGGACACCACATCCCCTAAAACTTTGCTATTTGAAGGAGCAAAAAGTAATTTCAAGCAAGACAGACCTTTCATCCTTTGCAGTATTTGCAGCGAAGGATCTCAGTGTACTTTCTGTTCTGATGTCAAAGCTGAGGCAAACATCAAGAAGGACTTTCTTTTGCTCCCGTGCACACAGAAGCCTTAAGAACACTGGCTATTTTTAAAACTGAAATTGCAGAGTTCTGCCATCTCATACTAATTTGTTTTTTTCCAGGAAAGCTGGCTTCCTGGAATGCTTATATTAATGAGTTTCCTGTCTGTTCCTGGAGGTCCTTGAGGGAGAAGTGTATTCTATTGCCTGATGCCCCCACCCACTACCTGCTTCTCCAGGATTTCCCCAGGTCTTTCTGAAAACACACCTCTTTGCAGTTCTACCACAGAGACTGCCAATGCTTGACTGCCTTGATGTTATATGTTTAGTCTTTCATATTTGCTGTCATTTTTTTCTTCAATATGTCACAGAAAGAAGATGGTGGATACACAGCTCATTTGTATTGGGAACCAGGTGTAGTGTCATCAAAAGTCTACCTGTTATACTAATCTTAGTTTCAGAACTTTGTTCCCCTGAGGATTTTGTAACATATGTTTTTGTTTTGTTACAAGATTAAAGCTAATAAATATTGCTCATTTTCAACCTAAATTTGTGCTTTAGGTGAACAATTAGAAGAGGGAAACTTCATGTCTGTAATGTTAATATTATTGACGTAATTATACAAATACGAAACAATTATCAAACACTATCTAAGGCATGTTGTGCTCTCTGCTTATTCTAGGTGTCCCAGAGGGGAGGGGGTTGCATTGTGAAATAGACAACATAAACAACAAAAATTCAATTTCAACAACTAAAAAGGAAATACATTCTAGAAGAGTGGTAAATGAGGAAAGGCAGAAAACTTGCTAGATTAATTTTCATATCACTGTGATCACACATAATAATTCACAGATTGCTATAAATATACACATGGTTAAAGTGTGATTTTACCAATTCAATTACCTAGTTACCTTAAATCATTTTACCTAAAATCATACATGTATGTAAGATCTAGGTAGACACAATACGTAGGTAGATACATAGGTAGGTACAGTTTGACTTTGGTGATAATTGAACACTATTAGGAAATAGGATACCCTATCTAAAGTAAGATTCTTTTTAAAAAATTATCTTACTGCTATTCACTTCTATTTATTTATTTATTTATTCATTTTTTAGACATGGTTTCTCTGTGTAGCCCTGGATGTCCTGGAACTCACTATACAGATCATGCTGGCCTCAAACTCAGTGATCCACCTTGCCTTTGCCAATTCTGGGATTAAAGGTAAGAGCCACCACCACTCATCCCAAAATAAAACTTTACTATTCTGATATTCACGTATACTAATATCAACAATCTGATACTAAAGTAGTCAATTGCAGAATGTAGAACCATTGGAATATAGCTAAATATCAAGAAAGAAGCTGTGATTAGGCAAAGAACATAAAACTTAAGACAAACAAGCAATCCCCCTCCACACACACACACACACACACACACACACACACATACACACACACATTGGTTACACTATGATAATGTTCCCTGAGAGAAACCCAGAAGGAAAGTTAAACTTCCTGGTCAGTGCACTCTATTCCCTGTCACACTGCATGGCCTTGGGAAGGCACAGGCAACTGGCATGGCTTCTCAGATTCTGTCTTGCCCCAGCCCAGCCCTTCCTTCTCATCTCCCTCCTCTCTAATCTGGCCATGGGAGTGTTGCCTTGGTGTCCAACTGGTTGACTGGAAGAAGTCAAAGTCTAGAAATTAGAAACTGTGAACCCCTTCAACCCATCCTAGCCAAGAGTTCTGCCTTTGGATCTCCACCTGGAAACAGGAGTGAAGACAACTTCTCCCTGGTTGGGAAATAGTCCAGAAAAATAACTACAGAAACTAAGGCATTTATTTTTAAATTATCAAATTGACATAGCCTACTTGAAACTTGGTCACTTTTCATGAGTAAACAACCATAAGAAAAAAATGTCAGATGAAAGCTATTTACATCTCTGGCGAAGCTATGTCCTCCTCTAAGACTACTCTCTGATGTGAACTCCATGTCAAATGGTTGTGGTACCTGGAGTCCCAGGATATTGTGAGAATCACAAGCTCTGGCCCCTTCAAAATGCACGAAGTCAGAACCTCAGGAGAGTGTTTGAGTCTTCCCAACCCTGCAGCTCCTAGGCTCGTATCTGAGGACTGGGGTAACAGTGTCAGGAGTTGGACTTGTGAGAGTTCCCAGTCTTTGTCACTAATGCTGTGGCCTCATGTATTTTTTAAATTCCTCTATTTTCTTCATTTTCCTTTATTTCTATATTATATTCTTTTTTAAATTAAAAATATTACCTTAAAACACCAAAAAGTATACTTACATTTCTGAAACAGCAAGTAGACAAATGGTTATTTCCTCTTATATCTTCAAACAAACTCAATGCTTACTACATTTATTAAAAAGTAAAAAAAAAAACTTTATTCATTTAGATTCTCATGATAAATGCTTAACAAAAAATAAAATTGGCATAAAACATGAATTGCCTCCTATTAATTTGTGTAAATTTCAGACAGCTGACACTATCTGGAAAGGTACTTCTTTTATAGTTTCAGCACATCCAAAGAGACTGTTCACTCATGATATCACACTGGGCCCTTTGTTCTCTCCCATACATGCTGCATTTATGGGTTCCCTACCAAGACAGACAGAGAAGAAATGGGCTAGAAAACACAGAGAAAGTGCTTGGTACATTAACAGAGCAGGGTGAAATGAAAGAAAAAGCCAGTCAAGGTGAGAAGATGAGGAGAGCCGGGGAGGAGATGGTTAACAAATGGTGACTACTTGGTACATTGTCTCTAAGCTTGAGGAAATAAAATACTGAAACTAAATCAATACTGCTTTGCACTTCCATATCCAAAAACTAATGTCTCAGCAAGCATCTCCAAGAAGAAGCTCAGTTACAAGTTTAAAATGGAGTTTCCAATATAAAGGTCTGGCAGCTATGCAGATAAAGGATCCAGCAGCAGGAAGGGGAAGGAGAAATTATGTGCAGATTCTTCCCTGCTCTCAACTCTTGGCAGTCTTCACTATTATCCTTATTATTAAGCCATGATCCTAAGCAGGCCTCAAGCTGCTAGTATCTGGGGATGACCTTGAACTCCTGGTCCTCCTGTCTCCAGCTCCCAGATAGGAATACTGGCTGCACCACCTTCCTCAGTTTTATATGGTTTCAGAGATCAGATCCAGGGTTTCTGTGCATGTTAGGCAAGTGATCTAATAACTAAACTACTTCCCAGCTCCTCCTCCTTTTTATTTTATTTTCTGTTGTAGTATGTTACTTTTAATAGACAAAGATGTGTTACGTTTGCCAGTGCTGTATTTGTTAGCTATGTAAAGAGGTGCTGCATTGGCGTTAATTAAATAAAATTAATCTGGGCTCAGAGAGGTGAGGTTAGCTACTGGTTGACAGGAAGTAGCAGGGAGGAGCACAGCCTGGGGTTTGTTTGTTTGTTTTTAAGTTGAGACTATTTGCAAGTGGCTTCCGGGGACATCAGCAGAGAGAGAAAGGTAGCAATTGCTATTTTAACTCTCTGAACTCACAGGTTTTCACCCTAGCCTTTGAATCTCAAGTTTTATCAGAACAATATTTAGTTAGAACTACTACAAATCCACTGTCTGGGGGAGCAGAATTCCCCCCAGGCTGCAGCTTTAGCAGCTGGGCCACTAATAGTTTAAAGCGAAGCCATTGTGATGAAAGAAAACAATTTTAGTTATATACAAAACTATATTTGAGAATTACAGTTTTTTTTTAGATTATAATATAATTATAACATCTCTCCTTCCCCTTTTCTCTCTCCAAATCCTCCTACAACCCCTCCACCCTCTCCTTCAATTTCATGGCCTCCTTTTTCACTGAATATTATTGAATGCATATATGTTTATACATATATATCCTTAAATATAACAAGTCCAATGCAAATAATGTTGCTTGTATACATGTTTTCAG